AACACATATAGATGACAATTAAAATAAGCCATGAACATGAAAGAGAGGAGAGGATGGAATCATACAAAGGGTTACAGGAATGAAAGGGAAGGGGAGAAATGGTCAACTTATATGATAACCTCAACAAACAAACAAATAATGAGCATACTGCCAAGACACCAGGTACAAACTCTGCGAGAGCAATGCTCCTCTAGACTATAGTTACTGGGGAGGTCAAAGACCAACCAGTGAGTATCAGCGAAGGACATGTTGAGAAGCTAGATGCTGGTATGCCTGTCCTCTATTTCCAGAATTACCTTTATGCTGGGGTCACATGGAAAGCTCTGCTTCTCCCTAACAGCAGCGTTCTCAATGAACTAACAGCAACCAGGGAGACAGCTGTTTCCATGCTCAGCTTGGTGAAACTGTACATTGCCATGGTTCCAAACTACGCCATTCCTCCAAGCGGAAACCGTCAGGAACTGCGTGCCATGGTAAGAACCGAAGGTTTTTGTCAGGCAACTCTGAGAATGTTGGGTCTTAGCAGAGAAGATACTCTAATATAACACTGAAGACAAATTGGGCTCTTTAAGAATACATGGCTGGTGCTAAGAAAATCTTCAGGAGCCAAGTTTTTGAGAATTATAAAGCAATGTTATAACAAGGTCAAGAGTCTAAGGTACAGGGTTTTAAATTACAGCAATAGCCTGTAACAGAGTCCTATAAACGGGATGGAGGTACTTCATTACAACATTGGCCAGGCAAACCGATAGGTATGATTTGTACTGCTTCTTCGGTTTTGTGTTAACTTCACAGAACTGGTGAGAGGTGAACAAATATTTCTTGAGAAATTAGTTAATGAAATAAACCACAGGAAGAACCGTCGGTCACTTAAGTCTGACAAATGGTACATGAAAGGTCAATAAAGCAGCTCCTTTTCTTTTATCAAGACAGGTAATTCAGGAAGCCGTACTGTTAGCCAGGGGTATAGTCAAGAAAAACAAAGCAACAAAACACAATCAATTGCTTTTCATTCAGATTAAGTTCTAAAAACCAAATCTCGAATTATATTAAATGAACGGACCAATCCGTGTCATGATTTCCCAAATACACACCTCTTTAAATTAGTCTGTTTTTCACCTTCCGATTTTTCTTTCCCACATCATCGCACAAAACTAAAGAGCCAGTGCCCGACAACAACCCCAGGCCAAGTTCTGTGGGCATGCTTGGAAAATGAAAGCACTGTTTCAGTGAGTCACTGATCAAGGGGAAAGCGCCTTTGTACTCAACACCCCAATTGGTATTTGTGGCCACTGAGAGCAGAGGCTTTCATGTCTCTTAGCGCTAGTTCCAAAGCAATGTAGTCAGGTGCCATTCTGAGAGGAAACCTCTCTAACTACCCCAAATAGCTTAAGTCAGTACTTCCCCAAGTCAAAGATGGGGTGCCCTGAGGCACTTCAGAGGCTAAGGTGGGGAGTCAAAAGAGAGCACCATCAGAGAGTTGTGTTCTCTTCCCTGATGACAGCACAGATGTGCCATTTTAAAAGAACACCCATTACTTAGTATTAGCACATGCGCATACTTTCCTGGGGAGCAGGAACCTTGGTTAGGGTAAGAGATTTTCACTGTCAGACAGCTGCCATTCCTTGTAATGAGACTGGTTTCCTGAAAAGGGGGCACTTGCTCATCCACAACGTCACAAAACCTTGCTGCAGCTCCTCCGTTTACCTCATGGTATTAACAAAACCTGATACTGAATGGGGATGGGCTCATTCTGGAAAAAACCTATAGCACATATGAAAGTTCAAACTGCGGATCTGCAAGCAGGAGCACAAGTGTAAGAGGGTAAGGTCCTTGAGAAAAGAAGTGAATGGATACAGATGAGCAAAAGATACAATGACGCTTCCTGTGGACAGCCTCTTCAGACACTTTCAAAGCCAGGTGACGGTTTATGAATGTGATCTGGGACTTTTATTGCTACTTTGTTCATGGGTTTTTTAATGATTTATTTATTCTTACTTTTATGTACATTAGTGTTTTGCCTGCCTGTCTGTGTATGTAAGAATGTCAGATCTGCTGGAGCTGGAGTCACAGTTCCTTGTGAGCTGCCATGAGGGTCCCGGGAATTGAACTCAGAACCTCTGGAAGAGCAGTCAGTGCTCTTAACTGCTGAGCCATCTCTCCAGTCCCAGTTCATGTTTTTAAAGTACACAGGTATCCTTAATAACTAGGGATCCAATAATTACTTGAGAATCACCTCAAGTTATATAAAATAACTAAAATAAGTTCAGTTTACCAATTAAATCTGCTTCTTTTCCCCCCATGCTGGAGATGAAACCCAAACCCTTCACACACAGTAGGTGAGCACCTAACGCTGAGCCACACTCCCAGCCTGGGTTGAACTTTTACCCAAATAAAGGGGATTTGCATTCAGACAGTGGCTGGTACATTCTGATAAACAGTCTGCAAGCTCACAATACAGATGGAGGGACTGAATAATTACTTTAGCTAGTGATGCAAAGAATCAGGTGCTAAAGCCAGAGTGGAAGCTCTAATCTGTTCCAGGGAAACAGATGTGACTCTGGATCTGTGACATCCATACTGAACACTTGACCATCACTTCTACAATACTGACTGAACTAACAAAGCCAAAGGTCATAACCAATGTACCTTAGGGTCAACATTCCAGAACTATATGTGAAGTTAGCCTCAAGTAGAACTGCCTCCATCACTCAGCAATGTAAAGGGCAAAGAAGCCAGAGAGGGGCCTCTGAGTAAAGATGGCTGGACCAAGCTGGATAACCAGAGTTCAATCCCCAAAACTCATACGGTGAAGAACTAACGTCCACAAAGCTGTCCTCTAGCATCCCGTGTGTCCGGGAACCCATTCAAACACAGGTAAATGTGGTCTCTGAAAAGTTCCTCGAGACCTCTAATTTCCCAAGTGTAGTTCTTCGAATTTTCTTTTCCTTTTGAGGTTTTTAAAATTTTTGTTTAGATGTTTTGTCTGTACCAAAGGCAGAGAAGCAGGAAACACTTCTTAACGTATTTTGAGGAAAAATTTTGTTGCTGCAACAAGGAGAGAGGGCATCACAGAAGAGGGTATCTTGCAAATTTTATATTAAAACCTGAAAGAACAATCCAGAAAGAACAGAGGGAAATTTAGAGATTACAGTGCAACAAGCAGCCAAGCTCCTGCCAACAGTGAAAGGTAATCGGTTCAGTTACGGGTGTAAACATAAACCAAGTGCATACCTACATCAAAGCAATTTGGGGTACCAAGCTGAAAAATTTGCATATTTCATGACACTTCTATAGAAGTAGGCTTCCATATGACTTTTCTCTCTCTCTCTTTTTTTTTTTTTTTTTTTTTTGCTTTTCGAGACAGGGTTTCTCCGTGTAGCCCTGGCTGTCCTGGAACTCACTCTGTAAACCAGGCTGGCCTCGAACTCAGAAATCTGCCTGCCTCTGCCTCCCTAAGTGCTGGGATTAAAGGTGTGTGCCACCACCGCCCGGCCCATATGACTTTTTCAAAAGGCCTTTAAGCAGGGCATGGTGGCATATACCTTTACTCCCAGCCCTCAGGCAGTCCAGCCTGTCCTTAAATCAAAGCCTTATTTCCCAGAAGACAGGGGATGAGTAGAAAAGCACCTTTCCATTTTGTAGTGAGCTCAGTACCTCACATTTGTCTCATCTATTACCAGGATTCCAAGTGAAGGGCAGTCCCTCCCAGCCCTCGGGACAGCTGAAGACTCTAGGAGCAACGCTTCCGTGACTACTGACAGGCTATTGAGAACGGGAAACACTATGTGACTCAAAGGGACATTACAAGTGTCACTTTTTAGTTGTTTAATTTTGCAAGGCATTAAGCAGTTTCTGAAAATTATAAGTGACAATCTATTTACTATTAAATAACATCAAGATGACATAAAGAACTAAATTTAGAGGACACACACATGCACACACCCAGATACCCCACATTCAGAAAGGGCAAGTTTGGCCTGTCACCCTAGCATGCTGATTTGGCCTCTGCTAAAACAAGTCATCACTCCAGGAGACAAGGGATTTGGGAGGAGTGGGTATGTAACAGTCAGCCTAAGGCTGCTGAGAGTAGAAGCAGTCGGCAGAAAGTGATGAAACTGTAGTATGGGTAAGACAAGCCATTCAAATGTCACTGTTGGATTGGCTCAGGGTTTAAGATCACTAGCTGCTCTTCCAGAGGACCCAGAGTTGAATTCCCAGCACCTATATGGACCTCTAGCCCCAGTTTCAGATTTGATATGTCCTGCACACTGTTGGTGCACAGACATATTCACAGACAAAACACACAAACATATAAAATAAAAAGAAAATCTCAAGAGGAAAAAAAAAATAAGAGGATCCCAAGGTAACCACACCAGAAAAACTGGCAGCAAAGGTAGCTTTAATAAACAGGCAAATTGAGAAGGTGAGCTGGACGAGCAGTATGGGGGGAGGGGGGCAAGGGCGCAAATGGAACCATCAGAAGAAGCTCTCTCATACCACATCACAAGTCTATAACACGGCTTTAATTTGGTCATCTTTAACAATGACCCTCTCTCTTTGTAATGTTCGAAATGTATGCTCCACTCTCAATCAAGTGGTTATGACTTTAAAAAGCATCTGATCACACCACAGGACCAACCCCACCAGCAAGCTCCTGGCTATTACACCGTTTACCATCCCAAGGTCTTCACTCTGATGTAGCAGTTGATGGCGAAGTCCAGAGGGGCCTGCCACTCGGTTCTGTCTGCAAGGGATGGTATCGTCAGCACAGGGAGGCATGAGCTCTGCAGCACTGGCACTGCAGCACTGGCATTACCAGCAGCCATGCAGACGCTGCCAGTTTGTGCCCATCCTGAGAGAAGCTATAGAGCTGGCTTCCAGGCCTCACTGATCCTCCAAAGAAACATGAGCAAAAATGGCTGAAAGAAGTCAAGTGGATTACTTTACCCAGGGCTGATCCCCAATGTACGAGAGCAGATATAAGAAATAAGGCAGGGTACATTTAGTCAAACAGCACCTTTAATGTCTCTTGACAAAGAATACTTTGCCTAAGAGAAGCCTAATCACCAAAATGTTTAAAAACACCCAACTTTTAAAAGTTCCAAATCTCTGATTTATTAGACAGCAGAAAAATATAACAGTTTTAGATAGCAAACACAAACAATGGCTTAGGGCAGGAGAATCCGCCAGACTACTGTACAAGGACACAAAGCCTCCTCACTCCAAACAATCACAGGACACAGAGACATTTCTGTTATGACAGGAGACATAGAAATCCATACACTAGACCAAGTGTCCAATGGCTACTACAGGCAGGCCTTAGAGGGAAGCATGTGTTTGTAGGAAGCAGACAGAGCTTTTCCAGAGACACCACTTTCACCAGACGGTTACGTGGACCTGCAATGAAGAAAACACAGTTCAAAGATGCACTCAGACGTCACACTCACATCTCACTGAAAATCTTACAAAATAAAAATAAGACTTTTCTCTGTAACAAAATAATGTTCTTAAATACACTATGGGTAAAAGAAACTTCCAAGTCCTTTTCAGAGATGCACATTTACAAATAATACACATTAAAAAGAACAAGTCTGACAAAACACTGGAACGACTTGAAACAGGCCAAGCTAAGTTCGTGTTCTGCTACAAGACATTACATCAAAATGAATCTCATGCTCACTCTAATTTTTTCTTCTTAACCTTTAATCACCAGCGGCTGGGCAACTGCAATGGGCATGAGAACTATATAAATGTCAGGGAAATATGTAAACCTCATTAATGTTTCCAAAAATTCATTTAGAGATAGAAACAGGTCCAGATAGATGCCTGTCTAAATGTACTGCAATTACGTTACAATGACTCTCCCAAACGCACAGATACGCTCTGTCTTTTCTCAGCTCATTACTGACTCAAACAATTTGCCCTTCTGGGATCAATTGTTTGCTAATAAATAATTGTTTACAGTCACAAAATGATGTTAGGAGGTTTTCTTATTAGTTTTCCTTCTGCACCCTAATAAGATTGAAAACTAGCTGATTCCCGCGAGTCTAACCTTAACCTCGCTTTGTTTAGCAGCCCAGGAAATGATGAACCATCTGCTTCAGAAAATAATGGACGGCAAAGAGGAAATATTGTTTAATTGTAGATTAACCTCCTCATGAGGCAGTCTGAAGCAGCTTTCGAATTACCAACTATCACCAGCAAAGAAAGCAATGGCTCCAGAGCCTCTTCCTCCACCATTTAAGGACAGAAATAACACAAAGAGATTTATAGAACTCCTATTTACAAACACTTATTTCCACAGCAGAAACAAAAACCAAGGTCAAAACTGACTCTCAAAAGTGCAGCCGCTGCCCTCAAGGCTTATTTGCCCAAATACCTTTAATGTGTAGCAAACCATCAAACCAGCTTGTGCACTTAAGTTTTCATTTAAAAAAAAATTTAAATAAAAACTTCTTTTCCATTATTTTTAGATTCTTAAAAAAAATCAAAATTAGTATTTCCCTGGCTTCTTTGTTAATAGCTATGAATCCACCACTGGAAAGTATCAATTGTTTTATTATCCTCAACATGAAATCTTGTCAAGAACAAGGGGATCTACAAGTTAAAAAAAAAAAAAAAAAGATCAAAATGGCCAGCCAGGACAAGACATATCAAACTCAAGCGCAGCCCTTTCCAACAGGCTCCACATTCTAAAACTGCAAACAGTGAAAACACAAACATTTCTCCTTGTTAAATGTTCTGCTCCGACAGAAGCCCAACGAACATACCAAGGGGACTTCAGAAAACTGCAGAAGTCCATATGCCTTTATTTATCCCACAAATATTCACCCAGGATTCCCTTGTAGGACCTGAGAACAGAGTAAGGAACGGACAAGACACGTGGGGTAGGTACTGCATGGTGTAATCTGTGCCTAAGCCTCTGCATTCTCAGCCCAGGAAAGGTCACAGGTAAAAGGCTTTGTCCTGCTGCTGCCAAAACATGGAGATGGGCCCTTGCAGACAATAGTTAAAACCCACAGCCTACACCTACACCTCTTGAACGTGTCAAAAGGAAGGAAATTTGCTATGCTAGGCAAGGCCATATTACTCTGGGTTTCCAGTGAGACCCAAAGGCCATTCACTTTTGCAAATATTACAGAAACCATCGCTGGAGAGGGAAGAGTTTTTTTTTTTTTTTTTTGGCAGTTCAAATTCTTAAATATCTTAAATATAATTTACTAAAATAAATTATTCTTGAATTCCTCAACTTAATTTTGAAGCAATGAGGTAGTAGTAACTCCACAGATTCAAACAATAGAGCCTATTCAAGAAGAATGAGAGCTTGACATTCTTCTCTACAAAACAACTAGGCACAATTTTATCCATCAGACGTCTATCAACCTACGGATATTGAAAGCTTGGGAGAACAAGATAAAATCAACTCCAACCCTACAGGCAGCTGTAATATCGAGCAGGCATCAACAATGCTATTCATGAATTTAGAAAAATTAATAAGTCCTGGGTTGAATGCTAGGAAAGGCTTCAATCCAGGTGAAGCATACTCACTTGGGCTTTGTTTCTGCATCTGTCACTTGGCGAATGAAGATACCATCTTCAGGATGCTCTGTGTCATCCATTTCATACATATATGACGATGCTATTGCAAGCGTAGTTCCGTCATTACTGAAGGCAAGGGAAGCGATGCTGGTGGGGTATCGATGGAACTGGCACAGGCGCTTTTTGTTAAATGGGTCCCAAATATTTACAAATCCATCAGAACCACCTGCAAGTGATACCAATAGTTAAAATGGCTCTTTGTATTGGAGTCTTCATTCTGTCAAAGCAAACAATCTCCTAGGCCTCAGCCTGAGCATAAACAGCACACAATCTTAAAGCTGAGATCAGGCCCGTGAGTCCCACCTCACCTGTGGCAAACGTGTTGTGGATATTGTGAAAGGAGATGGCATTGACTGGGTAAATCTGCTCAATGTTGTTCTCCTTTAGCCGGTGACACTTGAAGGCGTACTTCTTCTTCTGAACCTCAGGGCTCGGGTCCAAGTATTCCACAGCCACTCGGCCTTCAATGGAGCTCAGCACATAACCCTGCCAAGAGAGCAGAGGTTATAGATTATAGAAAGCAGACCTAAAAGCAAATTTGAAATCACCACTACTTTGAAACTCCAGGCAAGTAGGGGTGAAGGGGTGAGGAGGGGTGGAGTGAGGAGAGGGATGAGGAGGGGTGGGGTGAGGAGGAGTCAGGTGAGGAGGAGGAGTGGGGTGAGGAGGAGTGGGGAGAGTTGGGCACCTGCTTGTTGGGGAAGGCTCGGATGCAGCGAGTCTGGTACTTCAGGCTGGACTCCCTGCGCTGCTGCACGTAGCCCATGTTCCTCAAGTCCCACACCAGCACTCGGCGGCCTGCGGTGCCAACAATCAGCCTATCCCCAGACACTGACAGGGTGTAGACCTTTTAGGAAACATCAGAACTTGATCATCATCTACTTCCTGAAAGTGACATTTTGCTCCCAAGGACCACCTAATCCTAAAACCATAAAAAAGCTAGCTGAATGTGTTCCCAGATCAGGTGTCAACTTTAGACATTTGGTGAAGTGACTGAGATAAAGCAGCACCCCCAGAACGTATTCACTAAGTATGAAGTATAACTCAATTAAGCTTGGAGGCACTTCTAACGATAAAATGCTTTCGACTAGAAGAACATTCCCCCCAAAATGTCTTGCTTCTTTTTTTTTTTTTTTTTTTTTTTTTGAGACAGGGTTTCTCTGTGTAGTCCTGGCTGTCCTGGAACTCACTCTGTAGACCAGCCTGGCCTCGAACTCAGAAATCCGCCTGCCTCTGCCTCCCAAGTGCTGGGATTAAAGGCGTGCGCCACCACCGCCCGGCAATGTCTTGCTTCTTAATTTAAGATAAAAGCTATTAAACCCACTTGAAACAGGACAATAAAGTCAAAACACCTTTCAGAGAGCTTCTGGGTTCTTGTAAAAGAATCATTTTCATTTTTTTTTTCTATGACCAAGCCAGCTTTTCAAAGATTTCATTTGGCAACTCTAAAACTCTTGGCATTTCCCGGCTGTTTCCTTGAGGGAAAGGCCTTCCTGGGAAGAGCAAAGACAGCATCACCAACAGGCTGTCTCATGGCTCTGAAAGCCACAAACTCAGAATGAAAAGTAAGGGGAGATGTATGCATGCAGCAAAGCTACCCTCAGGCTCTCACATTAGGTTCCAGGTTCCAAAAGGAAGCTCATTTTTAGAAAATGGGGGAAAAAAAAACACTAAAAAGCATTTTAATACAGGGGTATCTATTTTCCCCCAATCATAATGTCTTTTCTGCAATATTTAAGTTTCCAAAAAAAAGTTGCTTTATAAGAAATCATAAATTTCCTGCAAGCAGAACATTTGCTTATTTGCAAACAGGATGCTCCGCAGACACCAGAGGGAGCAAATTCATGAAAAACTAAAGCAAGTGTCTTCCTAATGAAAGTTATTGCTTTAACAATCTAGACTTGAGGTCTACAACTGAGGGCACTGTTGATTTTCAGCTCGGCAGGATTACTATTATGTAGAGTACCCAAGACACGGTAAAGCCTCACTTTAACCCTCAGTAACTAGTCACACAGCTGGTAATCAGCTACATGTTAACTTCAGACCACAGCCAAAGAAGCAGGCTACGTCACAACGTGCAAACAGGAGCCACCACAATCTGACTTGAAAGTTCAACAACTAAAGCAAATGAGGGAAAAATATTTTTAAAAATTGAAACGATTTTTACGATTACATACGATTGCGTGTGTAAAGATTGTAATGTTTACTCAGAAGGCTGAGTCTCCCAAAAAAGGGGAAGAAAACAGAAAATTAATTTAAGATATATGAAGTACTAAACTTAAAAAATAAACCAAAAAAAAAGATCAATTTATAGTGGCACAACTGTATCCAGAATTCTACTTTAAATCTTTACTACACAGGTGACACACAGGCTTCTAAAACTGCTTTCTATCCACGGTGATCATAAATCAAGGAAAACCACTGTCATACTACTGACTGGGTATATACATTTATCAAAGAAAGTATTAAAAAAAGTGACATAATGAACTTCGCTGAACCAGTAAGCAGCTTGCTTCAGTGTGGCTGTCCATTATATGATATTCTGTCAGCAATTTATCACAGTTCTTAACATGCTACATACAACCATAAATCAAAACTAGAAACAATGCAATTATTTTATTCTGAACAAAGGTCTTGCCAGGAGTAGAGTCGACTGTGACGAGACAAAAAATAATGGCTCTTTGGATTCACGGCTGTACGTAATGACAGCCAACAGGGCCGAACAGTGTACGGACACTAGGGAACGGACTAAGTGAAGAATACTTGAAACAGCTAAAACAATCCATCTTTTAAATTAACTACTACCTGATAAAATGTCTGGTGAGGATAAAGCCTAAGCATGTTTATGGAACAGATTGAGAAGTTAGAATACACCAAAGTTGGTTTTAAAAAGATCCACCCTCAAGAGGCAGATTCTGCTTTCTCCAGGGACAAAACCCCTGGGAGGTTATCCAATCTAAGTGGTCAGCCATAAACACACGTACAAACAACCAATGCCAAATGGAGTTGGAAGCCTGTGTGTGTTCACATGTGTGCACATGTATAAAACAACCATAATTACAGGAGAGGCCAGGAACCTGAGAGTGAGCAGAGGAAGTCGGAAGGGGAAGACAAAAGGGTGGAAAAGACAGTGTGCTCATGCATGAAATTCTAAAAAAAAAAAAAAAAACAATCACAGGAACCATATATGGTTTTATAATTCAAGGGTAGAGACTGCCAAACTGGACTGAAGAAAACTTAAAAGGCCCAACTATGGTCTGTGGGAAATGTAATTTAGATTCAAAGGTGTCTAAAAGCTCCATTTACTACAAGCCTTCAAACTACATCTGTCAGCATTTAAATACAGAGACAGCAGTAAAAGCCAGAGAACACGGCTCTCTCTCTAAAGTTGAAATGATTCCCTTTTCATTCTCAACTGTCAATTCAAATGGAACCTCAAGTCACAGCTGAAAATGAGTCATGTTTCACCCCATCTTCTGGTCTGGGGTGTCAAACCAAACTTAAGACCACCAGTCTCTGTAAATGGCTTCTATGAAAAGGCAGTGAGTTACCTCAGACCTGGAGCATTAACAATACACGGACCGAGAGTTGCAAGGTCCTGCTCTCCCGCCCAAGTTTAATAGCTGACAGGAAAAGATGATCAAAATTTAAAAGTTAATTCCCTTCGCATTAAAGAATTTCTATATAGTTAGGTTTCTAAAACAGGTTGCCAATTCTTAACCTATTCAACAATAGATTCATCAACCATCATACCCCTGGTGCATATAAAACCCTACCTTTTCGGGCTGGGAGAACGTCCCAGCATTACAAGGAGTTCTGGGATCCCACAGTTTAACTGTCTGATCCCAACTTCCAGTAACCATCACGTTCACTTCTGGACAGTATTCAACACATCTGATAGGGGCATCGTGAGTTCCAACAAGACTTTCTATTGTAAAGAAAGAATAAAAACAGCACAGCTAGCTTGACTCTCTCACAGGACACCTCAAGTGAGCCCATGGGACAGTCAGCTGACAAGAATTCGTCTCGGTCACTCCACGGAAATGTGGAGCAATCTCTCCACGACTACAGTTACCCATTCCTCTCTAATTCACTTCATATGGCACAGATTAGTTAACTCACTAGGAGGAATACAGCACAGCCGCCTTGAATTTCGAACTGTATTAAGATGGTGGATGATTAACTTGATCCTAGATCTTGTCAAGAAGACTGGTTAAACTCTATACCTTTGTTTGTATCTAGTACGTGCTTGGTACGTTGTAGGTGCGCCAGAAATACTTGCTGAGTGAACTAAGAGTGGAGATCTCTGGTTTCCTGCACCCTGACAACATTTATCTCCCCATTAAGCCAAAGCTAGGAAGAAATGGTTACAGGATTTGAAGACTGAGGGGAGTCTTTCATTTAATTCACCTGCTTCTCATGGTAGGGTCCAATTTCTGCTACATAATTTCTTTCTTGTCAATGTCAACCTTCACAATATCTCATTTGCTCATTCAGTAAACATATACTAAATATCTACTATGTGTCAAAGCCCATGTGACATACAGAAGAAAGGATGAATAACAGGACTAGGAATGTAGCTCAGGCAGAGTGCTTGCGCCTCACATGTACTTTTACTTTTTGCAGAGGCCTCTTCCAATGAAACATCATTCTTTTACTCCTGGAAATGGTGTCTTATGTAGTCTAGGCTAGCCTCAAACTGTCTATGTAGCCAAGGCTGGCCTTGAATTTTTGGTCCTCCTGCCTCCCCCTTTCCAAGTACTGGGATTCCACAGGAACAGCATCATGCCTAGCTCAGACAGGCTTCTGGGTCCATCCTCATTGTTCAACTCAGCCTCTAGGTAGAGCCTCACAGCTCTACACCCCTCCATCTCTTCCAAGGATACCTACATCCAATATAAGGCAGGCAAACAAAGCTCAGAGCGCTCTGCACATCTTGGGTTCCATTCCAAATTCTGCCACAGTGAAATCATAAAAACTCTTAGGAAATGTTTTGACACAGCCAACTGAAATACATTCTGCTGCTAAGAATACAAAGGCATCACTAAGATAAACTAAGATAAATTTGACCGGGCTACCGGGCTCCTTTTGTTTGTTTGTTTGTTTGTTTGTTTTTTGTTTTTCGAGACGGGGTTTCTCTGTATAGCCCTGGCTGTCCTGGAGCTCACTCTGTAGACCAGGCTGGCCTCGAACTCAGAAATCCACCTGCCTCTGCCTCCCAAGTGCTGGGATTAAAGGCGTGCGCCACCACCGCCCGGCCCAAGCTCCATTTTTAAAATGTACTTTTTTTTTAGTCTGTGAAAAGACCACCCTAAAATATCAAACTGTCTTAAGAAATCCTGACAAATCAGACCATGGATCCAGTCCACTGCTTAAAGCGTCTGCTTAAGTGATGCTTCTAGTACACACAGTGCTCAAAGGGGGCTTTACTGAAAAATACATGTTCCACTTGTGGGAACTTACTCTAAGTTTAAAAGTCTATTCTCAAAGCCATGTTTCACCTTCCCCTAAGTATTGAAAACAACTACTCTTCCTAACTAAGCATTTTGACACGAATTCACTAGTAAAGAAAACACTGGTAAAACGGAGCCATATTAATACCTTGATCAGTATTCAAATCATGCATTTTCAGCTGATGATCCAATCCTCCACTCCAGGCATGCGTTGGATCCTACAAAGGAAAATTTGGGTTTGATTTTTTTTTTCTTTTTTTTTTTTTTCTTTTGAAACACTAGGTAGCCCTGGCTGGCCTCAAAACTCAAGAGATCTGCCTGCCTCTGCCTCTGGGGTTAAAATCATGAACACCACATCCACCCACCCACTCTCCCCACACCCCCCTTAAAATTTTGAGTCATTTCAAAGTTACAAAGCTTTAGCAAGCATTTTCAAAATTGTCATTTCCACAGCCAATTGTTATGTCCAGTGTGACAAAGACTAAGAAGCAAACGAAAATGCAAGTAAGTGGTCGCCAAAACGAAGCAAATACAGGGCAACTTTATCAAGATCAACACCAGGAGTTAAGGCTAAATTAGACAACATTCACTACTTCAAAAAAAATATCTAAATCAGCCTTGCTGCTGAATTCATATGTCCAGAAAGTTTACTCAAGTCTGAACGTACAAAGGGAGACTGAAAGTACCAGGAGAGAAGACATTAAATACAAACCATTGTAGTAGGCTCAATGCCAGGCTAAAGGGAAGCATTCCCGAGTAGTTATGAACTGTCAGACTACTCAAACCGTGTATGGGATGCTACTGGCAACGTCTAGGACATCTCAGTAGTAAGGGATCAGGAGCAGAAACTGAATCCACCTACGTAGAAGGCGCAGTCCAGGACAGCACCAGTGTGCTGGTACTTGAGCCTCATGGAATTGGCGGGCACATCGTAGAGGCGCACAGACGTATCCCAGGAGGAAACCAGGAGGAACTGGGAGGTGTTGGGGCTGAACTTAACCGAGGAGATGCCATCCTCGGGTGGCTGATTCAGCTTGAATTCGTTCGAACCGGTCATCTGTAGAACAAACGCTAAATCTGAGTCCCTTACCGGAGCAACAGAGGCCGGACAGGGCCTGCGCCTGCGCAGCGCGCGGGTCCCCCTTGATCCAGGCCGGCCGCCATCCCGCTTCCGCCGAGCTCCACCCCGCCTGGCCTCCTTCCTTGCCTGCAGATCCCCAAATAAAACACAATGATCCTCGACTGGACCCCCCTGTGCATCGACGCGTCGGCCATAGGCCACGGATCCCGCTCTGCCCGCCCTCGCCCGAGCCTCTACCTCGTGTCCACTTAAGCAACGTTTCTGCACCGGCCACTACCGATCCGCTTCCCTCCGAGCACTCGCAGGCAAGGCGGAGGAGGCGGAGAGAAAGCTCCGGAGCAGGCCTATCATTGGCTTATTTCGAATGCCAACGGCTCGATCTCGGAAGCTGATTGGTCTGATCTACTGCCTGCCTCGTTTTCCGCAGTCATCCTGTTCCGGCTCAAAGGGAAGCCGCGTTTTTTTCTGTTCACCGGGTCTCTTACTACCACCACGCCGAGGTTACGTCTCCGAAGCTGCGGAGGGAAAACTACAACTCCCAAGTATGCTCAGGTCATAGAGGTGCTCACGCCCGCCCACAATGGTACGCTGCATGCTGGGAGTTGTAGTCTCTCTGGAGCTGCCTGCCTAACCATCCACCGACTAAGAGACAGAAAAGATGTTTTATCTAGCTCTAGTTGTGACATCCTCCTCTATCTCTTAAACACAGAATTTCATTTTGGTTGATAATACTCTAGAGATAAATTAATATTTTCTTTCTGGCCGTGCACATACCCCTGGAATTAATCCAGACTAGTCATACTGAAGGATAGTTTCTAGCCAAAAGCACTATTTGCTTTCATTTTGCTAAGTTTTCAATCTGTGAACTAGAGTCTCATTTCCCTTGAGTTCTAGTAATCTCACAGGAGATAGCCTTCATTTCTATTGTTTTATTTCTCCACAATTTTTAAGCACTTGAGTTCCAGGCCTGGTAAACAGCTCTGGGAATATTCATTCAATCAAACTACTCTTTGTTTTAGAAGAGCACTGCGTTCAGAAAGGTGAACATAGTAGGACACAAATATTTCTAATCTTTTAAAGCTCAACCAGAATCTTTTAGGAATGTTCATCATAAGACCTAGCATTGTGGCTGTCCTCCCCTCTTCCACCTTCCTCTGCCATATCATGGGAGTTGCAAGCTCAATGTGCTGCATTTTCTGTTTCTAGAATCCTCTAGAAATATAAGAATCAAAAGAGTTGTTTCAATAACAGGAGGGAATTGTTTTGGTTCTGTGAAAGAAAAGCAGTACTTGACAACATAGTGGCTGGCATATTAACAGACAAAATGTTACTGAGAGTTTCTATTTAATCCTTGCTACAACTTCTTTTTCTCTGTCCCATCTTCTTTTTGAGACAGTCCCTTTTATTTTGAAATTGTTGCATGAAGTAGGAAGTTGTCTCTAGTTTTAAACTACTTAACTTTCAAGGTACATTAAAAAAAAACAAATTCATCTTATGTGTGCAAAGACTGAACTAAATGCACTTAAGATTCCTGACAACACACACACACACACACACACACACACACACACCAGCTTTTTGTCCTGATGATGTTTATTGTGGCTAAAATATTATGTTCGTCTTCCTTCTCCAAACAGTTCTAGTATTTGGTTCTTTCTCTCTCTTCTCTTTTAACAAATCAATGGCCAAGTTCAATTTTTTTTTAATGCATTGAGTTGTTTTGCATTCTAAGTTTAGCAAAATAATTTTACTTCTTGACTTATTTGGTTCTCTTTCCCAATTCTTTATTTAATTCTATTAGTGTTTCCAGATTCTGAGCATAAATTACCTGCTAATAAAATCTGAGCATATTTCATTATCCCATGTGTGTAGGATTCAGGCCCCTCTGGCCATGCACTTGCAGCCCAGCTCTATTTGAGTTTTAAGAAACGTCAATCTTTTAAATCAAGTTTAGAGCCTGAAAAGAGATGGACTATTTTGCTGATTATTCAAATGAATTGATAGACTTGAGATAGGAAATCTGGCCATAGTAGAGTCTTGACCATTTTACAACACAAATGTAAAGTGTGTGTGTGTGTGTGTGTGTGTGTGTAATATTCAGTTACCTGTTGCAGTGGTGAGTCGCCTGTCACAGCTAATGTCTCGGTGAGTAAAGAGAGTCAAATATATACTGCATGACAACTGGGGAAATAAATGGTCATTCCCTAAAATAATGTGGGCAAAGTCAAGTGCTGACAAGTGATAGGAGGGGGAGGAGGTCACTACCTATAGAGAAAGCCATCTTCAAGCAAATATGGTGACCCAATACTGTTAAGTCCATCATCGAATTGTAATCTACTGAAATGCAGATCAAAAGCATCTGAGCGGAATATGTCTTTGCGAGACATCCCTCTGAAGTAATACGGTTGTCTCTGGGTGGAATATTCAAAAAGTGCTGTCTGGGAAAGAATGCAAAGAGGTTATCTAGAGTGACAACTACAGTGACATAAAATACACACATTCAATAAGCAATTGAAAACACGTATTTAATAAGTAAGAAGAGAACTGATAGGCCTCTTTGTGTTCTCTCTTTGGACCACCCCAAATTTAGTGTGGGTTCTTAACACGTGTTGGGACCTCAACAAACACTTACTGACGTGAACACAGCTAAAACAAAATAAATGCAATTGAACCAACCTAGTATTGTCGGGTGCATTCTTGAGTAGCATCCATCTGACGTCACCTTGGAGGAGTTGCAGTTTTATAAAATATGTGATAAGAAGAAAATGGGCAATATTAGAGCAAATCACTTTGGCCAGGCATCTTTCACGGAACGATACGGGTCACGTAAACGTTTGCATTCTGTGAATTTCTACAAAATGCAGGTCATTTCGATGCCTCTTAGCTCAAAGAGACAGGTCCCTCAGGCACCCGGTTTTCTTCTGAAGAAAGAAATAGGGCCTTGGCGCTCCAGACTCTTAGTTTCTTGCACCCCGGTCAACCACTGAGGGGAGGCGGACAGGACCTAATAACTCAACCTGAGGCCTCCTCCAAGCTCCAGACCCATTTCTGACGTTTAACAAGAAACAGGTGGATGCTATTTAAACGCAGAGAAAGTACAGTGCTGGGATTTGCATGACCCTGGAGCTGCAGTTCTCCGGGTGCAGCGCCTCCCTAGCCCTGCATAGAGGCAGGCTGCCGGGTACTGCAACCCTCAGGACTCAATTCAGAAACAGCTGCTGCGTGCTGGCCAGTGATCCAACCATTTGGTCACTCACAAGTGCAAATTTAACAACTACAAAAAGAAGGAAGGGAAGCGCCTCTGTCACCTGCTCCACGAATCCCTCCAACGAAATCTGACCTTTAATCGTCACTTCCCGTTCTGGGCAGAACTCGCAACTGTGTCACCAGCCGGAGAACCCTGCGTGGGCTGCAAGCGGGTAGCGTGGAGCTCTGGACCCCAGGCCTTCTCACACCACACGTTTTAATCCGCGCAGGAGGACGACAAAAGCGCCAAGAGCTTCGGCCTTTCGTGGAGTGCCCAGCTTTCGTTTAGCCCCCCAAACACCCGATCCCAGTACCAGGGAAATGTTCGCATCCTTGCTTCGCTCATTCCCAGAGGCAACCCGGTCATCAGCCAGGCTCCTGGCTTTGTCTTTGCGGCGCGGGGCTCTGGATCTGGATTCCATCTCGGAGTGCACCCCAACCCTCACATCTGGGTCGTGGGAACTGGGCTGTTCCCGTAAGCAGCTCCAGTCACGTGCTGCCTGGGCAGCCCCAATATCCCGACCTTTAACCTCTGAGCCCAACCCCACCCTCACGTGGTGATAACCGGACCTTGGGGGCGGAGGGAGGAGACGCAATATTGCACGCTCTGGAGCTAAAAATCCAAAAACTCTCCTGCTCACTGTTTTGTGGGACAATTAATCCCTCCAAAGTTAGCAACCTTGTTTAAAACGTTTTATTTTTTTTCTCTTTAAAAATATTTACAGATCTGTACTCTCCTCGTTTCATCCCTAACCCATCCTCAAGAGGAAGGGAATAAAGAGAAGTGATTAGTTCAATGACAAAGGTCCTAGTGGGCTCGGCTCGGCTGAGCGTGTGTCCTTGTACATTATCTATATACAAGTGTATATATATGGGTAAAAGACTACCTGGTTTTGTTGGTCTTTTTCTGGTGTATTTTTTCTTGCTACCAGCCAAAACTGACCTAATCAAAACCCCCATTTCCCACCACCGCCCGAGAATCTCCCCTTCCAAAATAGTTTTCAAACGCGTGTTGGTTTGGTTTGTGTGTAAAAAGCAGGTGCTCTGTCGTGAAGAATGCAGATAAATACTCAAAACGAAACAAGATTTTTAAAAAACCAAAAAGTAGGGAAGAGGCCATAAATAAGACATAACGAATACACATGGTGTATTTCTTAATATTTCTGGACACGCGCCGCTCTGCTCCGGAGCCCTGAGGAGGATACCGACCGCGCCGGGCTATGCAGGCGGCTGCAGACGACCAGGGGCGCCCCGGGAGCCGGCCGGCGTGTTAGTAGTCAAGCTTGTTGTACAGGTTGTAGAGCGGTAAGGCCGAGAGATTGCTGCTAGGATAATAGAGCGGAGCCGGGAAGGCGAGAGAGCGCGGCACCGGCACTCGCAGCAGCGAACTGTCCCGAAACACCAGCGGCATGCCCACGAGAGTCTGTGCCGACGCGTGTGCCATATTGGCCGCCTCCAGCTCGGCGGAAAGCTGCCGCTTCCACTTGTTGCGGCGATTCTGGAACCAAGTCTTAACCTGGGTCTCGGTGAGCTGCAGGCTGGAGGCGAGGCAAGCGCGCTCCGAGCTGCTCAGGTAGCGTTTCATGTCGAAGGTGGACTCGAGCTGGTACACTTGGCTGCGGGAGAAGACGGTGCGCGTCTTCTTCTTGGCCGCTCCGGCTTGGCGCTCCGCACCGCCGTCCCGTGGCCGCTCCGGGCCCGGAGAAGGCGAGCCCGCCGGCAAGAGCCTCTCCTTCTCTTCTTTAAAGTCCGGGTGAGAAGGGGAAAGAAAAGGCGTGCGCTCCGAGGCCGCAGGCCCTGAGCCTCCGCTGCCCTTGGAGGTACCTGGAGAGTGAGCACAAACAGAATGACCATGGAGTTGATGCGCCTAGAAGACTCTCAGCTCTGTCCAGGACAAGGAAGTTGGCTAAAGCCTGCATCCTTGATTCCCCTATCCCTAACCCTTTCCTTTTCTAAAGCGTCCTGCTAGCGCCCAAAGTCCAGAGCCTCGGCCTTTCAAAGCAACAGAAGAGGGTTCCATATAATCCGAGCTTGAAGGTCTCCCTTCCCACTCTTACAAAAGTATAGGTAGTAACAGCTCTGGAATGGGGACATTAACACTATTTTTAAGAGGTGGTTTTTGCTTTGTGAGAACTGAGCTTTACAAGGTAGCATCCTTTTACAGGCCGTTTTCTTTGGGAGTATGGCTAATTTTATACTTAACTCCTTGGCTCTCCTCCGTTAGCTTTTACCTCTCTGAAACTCAGCACTGTCAATCATTTTAGAGTACTAATCACTTCGAGAAGAGACCGAGAGGAGTCAAAAGACACAGAGCTTGCAGGACTGACAGACAGAATACCCAGAGCAGACCTGCAGAACTCGAGTCAGGACAGAAAGTACCCGGCATACGAAACCATTTTGGCCAGCATTGTGTACTGCCTGCAGAGTTCCTGGCCCAGTTCGGTTCACCCTCCTTCCGACCCAGTCTTCCCCTTATCGCCCCCAACATTCCTCTACTTCTCAGCGCCGGCCCTTGCGGCCCTTTCGAGAAGGCACCATTGGTGCGTAGTCCCCTCCCCTTGGCCTGGACCCCCAGCGGCCGGGCTGTGACCGAAGGATGCCCTGCTCCCAAGTCTCCGACAAGCACACACCACATAGGCTCACGCTCACTCGGGGCCAGACTCCCGACGTGCGATCCTTACCCAGACAAGGGAAAGGGATGGGGGGATGGTGCTTAGGGCTTGGTTCCTTGGGGCCGTGCGGATCTGGGCAGAAACAAGCCGGAGCCTTCCAGCCTTCCTCCGGCTCCTCCTCCTCCGAGGACACAGACAGGCTGCGTTTCCTGGCTGGCCACCCGGCGGGCTCCCGCGGTGCCTCGGAGGGGCCCCCGCCCAGGATGGATTGGATGGTGAAGCTGGAGACGCCACCGGCCGCCGGACATCCCTTCCCCACATCTTCCTTGCTGCCCATCCTGGGTTCATAAGAAATCGGAGGAAACCAAGAACTCCCTTTAGAGCGGGACTGGGTGGAAGGTGGTGCGGGCAGGCAGGCGGGGGGAGGGGCGGGAGGGAAAGCAAGGGGAGGGGGCTACGAGGATGGCGAGGCGTCCCTTCTGCTCCAGGACGCACAGGCACCAGACCGCTGCGTGCGAGTCCCTGCCGGCCCGGCTCTGGGTGAGCCCGCCCAGCCCCGGTGCCAATGTCCCTTCCTCGCCTGCCAACTCCACCGGTCTCCAGCGACGCAGAGACTGCGCGGCCTCATTTGCATAGAGGTTACCCGGCCGCGGCCAATCGCAGCGCCGCGGAGCGGCCCCGGAATTTTTTAAAAAGCTGGGGCCGAGCACGCAGCACCGGGAAGCTCCCGGAGCACGCCTAGAAGCGGACTCGCATCAGCTCTGTCCAGTCCATGGTATATGGGGCTGAGGGCAGCTTAGATTGCAGCCTGTGCTCCCGGTCTCTACCCTGTCTCTCCAGAAAGGAGAACAACGCCCGATGGCGTTGAGCTGGCGGGGCTCTCTCGCATCCAAGATACTCCCAACAGGCCGCTGCCACCCTCCCAGGCCCTCAACCCTTTCCAGCCTCTTGGGAACTAACAGAGTTCTAGGAGCTCTCTCTCGCTGCGTGGGGGTAGAGAAGCTAAACAGTGTAGGGCTCAGAGAGACCCGGTTCTCTGGGTAAGGGCTGGGAGACAGGAGCAAGGAACTTCTGCAGCTCTCCACCTGCAGACCCCACTGGCTAAAGGGCCCATAGGAGTTTTAGAAACAAATCTCCCGAGATTCCAGTGCACATTCCAGCAAACACCATTTGCACTGTGCTAACTGGAACAAGTCTGGTCCCAGTAGAAGCATCCCTGCCCTCTGGCAAACTTTTTAATGTCGCCCCCCTCCCCACCATTCTCCTGTGGTGATGATGTGTCAGCTAGAGGTGGAAAAGCGCCAGAAACCCTCGGAGTGCAGGATAGTTAGTTCCGAATCCCTGACCGAATGCCACACAGCTCGCCTTCCCACACTGCAACTAAACTCATTTATTTTATTTTGCTGGTAAATACTGGCGGTCTCAAAATGGCTACGTTGCTTCTGGAAGGAAGAGAAGTAGGTAGGTATGCAGACGGTTTAGAATTGGGTAGGATCCTGACAAACATAGGCAAGGTGACTTTGGGCAAGATATGTACACTTTCCAAGCCTCTCTTTCCGCATCCCTAAAATTGATTGAAATGTTGCTTTCCTTTCAGAGGTCGAAGTGAGCTCTGTAAAGCCTGGCTCTCTCCTTCTATCATCGGGTGGCCTCTCTCCGAGCCTTGACTCTTGTTTGCTTAATCCCTAGAGCACCTGTTACCTGATCTAGAGTCATCTCAGCAAAGCAAGCAAAGGGATTTGAGGCGACAGTTTATGTACACACGCTTTACGGAAAGGAAAGAGGCCCAAGGCGTCCAGCCAAACCCACCCTCTGTGGCTGCAGCTTTAAGGTCCCGGGAACCCTGTTCCTTAGTCACAGGCCAGAAGAACCAGGAGTGAAAAGAGACTGTAGAATCGGTCCCCACAAATGTCCAGACTGCACCGTGACGGTGCAGTTCCTCGCCTGCACCGCTCCCGGATTATTGAGTAAAGCGCTTATAATATCATTAGCCTCAGTGAGTTACCGACTGCGGCCCTGCCCGTGGCAGAACTCTCCCTACTTAACTCCTCAAAGGGCTCGTTAATGGGCTAATTGATTAGGGGTCGGTGGCGCAGCCGGGACAGGGGCAGGGGAGGGAGCGGAGGGCCAGGAGGCTGTGCGCCCAAGCCCAGGAGGCTGGCGAGGGGCAGGTGCCGGCCTCCGTCACCGCATTAACCTCTTCAGGGCTCTGCGGCGGGGTCGAGACACATTACAAATGGTCAGCTTTAATCATGGTGTCAGCTCATTAACCCAGAAGGACCCGGCGCTGAAATACAATTTGTGCGTCCTGCTCTGCGCGGCCATGGCACAAGCTCCCAAGCCTCATCACAGCAGGTCCAGAGCGCTCCTGCGGAGGTAGAGAGGGAGATTCCAGAAAGAAATGTTCAAACTCATTCACTAACCCCCTTGGCTTCTCAAAAGCACGCTCATCTGAGCGATATCGTCAAGGCTAGAGCCAAATCAATACCACAGGAGGACTGGCCAATTTGAGGGTCAAAGCCAGCTACACGGATTTGAGGAAAATTATAGTGGAGGAGAAAGAGTTAGTTAAACCAACCGTTCTGAGCTAGAAAGGATCTGGTGCTGTGAACGTGTTGGGGTCAGCTCATTGTAACTACAGCAAACGTGACTCAGATTTTTACCGCCATTGTACAGACGTGGAAACTGAGGCTCTGGAAAATAAGAATCTAGGCCAAGTAGTGGAAACAAGCTTGACGGTCAGGACTGTTTCCTTGCCACTGCTGCGCTCTTGGAAGAGGGTAGGAAGAGAAGCAGACAAATGCAACCAGCTTGGAGAACAGCCTAAAGAATTGAACAACTTCCAGAGAGCTGAGGGCTCACACAGGTATGGGGTCAAGCACTGGTTGAGTTGGCCCCTTTTAAGGCAGGGACTATGGGAGGTGACTTCTGAGATGGGTATCAGAGCAAAGACCAACAGGGCACATTACTGAAGAGGCAAGTTCAAAACCTCTAAACCAGAAAGCTATGAAACCTCGTGACCAAACTTCTCTCTGGCTAATTTGGAACTTCGAAAGCAACCGTTTGCCTGCCCTGTTCCTCTATTCAAACAGAGGGTGTTTATCCACAGATGGCTGCTTGCTTCAAGCCCTGACCAGCTTTTAAACCACACGCACACTCTCATCTAAACACTTGTTCACCCACACATATTGAGCCACACAATCACACACAAAAGACAAAGGGACACACACACACACACCACACACACACACACACACACGGCACAGAGAATACACTAAGCTAGTTAAGTAAGTGGGGGTGGTGGGTGCAAGGGACTTCAAGGCCTTCCTCTAACTGGTCACCTGTCATCCTAAAGTTCTGCTCATTCACAGGGAGGAACTGGAAAGACTAAATTAGGAATATCCCAACTCCTCTTTCAGGCTTCTGGGACTTCACCAAATGTCCAGAGTCCTTTGAGTCCCACACTGCTCTGGCACCCACTCCAAGAAACCTTCGGCTAGTTCTCTCGACCACGTTGGGCAATCCTTCAACTTAGTACGCCCCCACCCGGCCCCACCCACTGAGTCCAGATAGCTCCTCCCCTCCCTGTGTCTGTTTAATGGACACCCTAGGAAGTTGCTTTTCGGAATCTTTAGAAGGGGCTTTCGTCTCTTCTCCATAAGGATTAGGCACAAACCCGGTTCCAAGGAATGATAAACCTTCCCAGACTGAAAGAACACTTAAAGTTTAGGTCCCGAGATTATGTGTCTGCTCAATATTAAAGCGGCCCAGAGCAAACTTGCGGAGGAGCCTAATAAAAATTGATCCTCTCTGCTCTGCGGCAGTTGGGAAATAGGCTGGCTGAGCCTGGTAATAGTGGAAGAAGGCTCCTTCCGAAATGACAGATGAAGTCATAAACAAGTTTGATCTTGGAATCAAGCTTCGATAAATATTAAACACAGTCTCTCCCCCGCCCCTTTCCACGAGTGGATTATGATATATGGCACGTCCAAACTTTAAAATAAGGAAATACCAGAGAAAATGATCTCAATAAATTTTCTAAGTATAAACGTTGATTATGTTTCGATTTTCATTCAAGGGCCTCTGCTGTTCGTTCTTTGGTGCAAATGACATCTCACAATAGGCTTTTGGGGAAAAGGGCTCCCTACTTGAAAGAGAGAGCCCCAGAGGTGTACAATTTATGTAATCTGTGGCTGGAAAATGAATTGTGTAATTTATTGGAAAACAGAAAGTCATGAAGATTGGATCAGCATAGCCTAGTCCCGACACCCCACCCCCCCACATCCATCAAGTTCCAATTAGAAGCCTAACCAGAGAGCGTTAATGGGTTTCCAATCTAGTAGCCTGATAGACTCATCAATTCCTCTGGGAGAAATTAAGAAAATCGAGCGCCCCTTGGCGACGGAGTGTCATTCCTTTCTGCAACTATATGTCAAATTAAAAACACAATTAAAATTTAAACTGTTTCAATCAAAGGGTGCCCTGCAACCTATGTTTCACTTAATGGAACTTGGATGAAAATCTGATGCTTGTACTCCATCACCGAGGGGGGTGAGGGGGGTGAAGGAACTCTCTTGAGAGAGGATTCTTTCTATTTCTTTAAGACATTAGTGCTGGGGTGAGGGACACCAGGTGACTCCACCACACTGCTCCTGAGTCAATGATGGGAGTCACTCTTCTCCACCTTTACCTCAGCTCGCTTCTCCAGGCACCACAACCAGAAAGAACTCTTTTGCAACCCCAGTGCACAGACTTTGCACAGTTTCACCCAGAGACTCATCTCCATGGAATAGTAAGCTAGCATAACTGGCGAGCACTGCCTTCCTGGAGGCACGAAGCATCGATACTCTTCCCCAGGCACACCCAGTCACAGAGTCTCATGCAAATCAATAGATCCCATGCTGGACTACCGCTGTAGTCTGGTACCTACTTGGCAGCCCTTCCCCCCTCCCCCGTTGGTTCTCACAATTTTCACAAAAGAAATCAAGTGAAGTTCAAATCTTCATCCTAGATCCCAGCGGGAAGCTCGAGGTAGTACTCCCCAATACTTACAGCATAGTTATGTTGAGGGGTGCCTCTTTCACCCTCACCGTTTGTTTGTGTAAAGGCCAACACTGTCTTCTCTAGAAGGGAAAGGCCCTGTGTGTACTTAAACAGGGACACTTTTCAGATGTGTACATGCTGGTGGAATAGGTGGCTGACACTCTAAAGTCAGGGAGGGCCTGTAAACATTACCCAGTAGCTGGTAGAGAGTGGGCAGGAGAAAAAGAGGAAGTGCTAGGCAGATGGCTCCTTTAAGGCCAGACAAATGCTTGTGTGGGCATAATCCCTTGGGTCTACCTGGCTCTAACCACCCTTGATTCCATGGCTGAGTTTCCTAGGCACTTTGCAGAGTTAGAGTTTGGACCACTAAAAGTGAAATAAAATGAGGTGAGGCCTTTGAGTTGTCAAGGGCCCATCCAGTACAGGCTAGAACCCCACCTTCATCCCAACCCCACCCAAGGACTCTGGAAGGCAGCTCAGTTATTCCATGGGCTGAGACAGATGGAAGCAGAGATGCTGGATCCACAGTCACATCACTAGGAGCTCCCAGACTGAGCAGATCTAGAAACCCACAACACCTCCCTTCTCCTCCTCCCCTCAGTTGCCCAGTGCAAGATGGCTTCAGAAAGGAGATAAATCTCACCCACCTTTTCACCTCCTTTTCCTTCTCCCCAGCTCCACTTCTAGTTTCCCAGGCAAGGAGAGGTGGGTGCTCTGGGGCTCCCCCCTTGTGGTCTCTGACTTTGACCTACCAAGGGGACATACCCCCTTAGGAATGAGCACCAGTGGCAGGGCTGCCGTTTATATCTCTTGCCGCTGTTTGATGTACACACGTCTACTCTATTTACTATCAAATAAAAGAAATACATCTGTGTTGCCAACAGAAACAGTTCACAGGCTGGCCCTGAGCTCTCCCAAGGCCTGAAGGCACTCAGAGGTGCTTGGAGTGCTGCAGAGACTCCTTATAGCCTTGGCACATAGAGGGTCCCTGGTCAGGAAGCGGGAAGGTTAGGCTAATTTGACCATGTGCCTTGTGATGAAACTCCAGGACCAGCCTGCCACATGGGGAATCTTCGAGTTATGCAACTGAAATGGTAGGTAGATGCCCTGTGTCTGCCCATCCGTGCTATCTGTTCTCAGTTCAGCTTAGCCAGGGACCATTGGCGAAAACCAGACACCTGGGGTCACTTTGGGCATGACTGTGTGAGCATGCTCTGAGCAATCAGGATGACGCTAAAAACCATAAACTGTGAGCAGGTGTGTTGGTAACCTTAGGCTACTTGAATCGGCTGAGAAATATGAAGGAGAAGCGCCAATGTGTGCTGTGTCAAGTGAGCGTATTCTGTGGTGTTTGCAAACATCCGTCTAGTTGGTGGCCACTGTAGAAGGTTTCATTGACCACAGCATTGACTGGTGTGGAGATCGGGTTCAGGACTGTAGGCAGGACTGTAGGCAGGACAAAGAGAAAGCTTCCAGGTTCCACAACCCAAAGGTGGTACAAGGATAAAATGGGAGGTGCCCACTCAGCATTCTGAAACAGGAGAGCCTGGCTGCCCTGAATTCCCCTAGCGAATGTCCACAGGGATTTCAGGAGACCGTGTCACTCCCCCCAAAAGTCTTCTTGGTAATTGGCTCTTGAAGCACCTGGAAATCTCTGCAAAAGCTGGGGGAGAAAGACCGAGGAGGAGAAGACAACTAGCTCTCCAGTCCTGTACTGGATATCTTCTGACAGCAAGGTCTCAGAAAGACCCATTGTGCCCCATTCCATACCCGTATTCCATAATGTCACAGGCTCCCTCCTCAAACACTGAACACGGGAGAAGGCCAGCAGGACCCCATTGGGCTGGAAGGTGCACCACCATCCCCCTCCAGAGCTGCACTGTGGCCCTGGGGTGAGAGGTACCAGCTCAGAGCAGCAAAGCTCCCACACAGGAAGAAAAGTGAAGCCAGGGGCCTCATACAAAGGATAAACTATGCTTGTGGAGAACCAGTTATGTCTTGACTTTCAAAAGACTGGGTCAGTCAAGAACCGTTTTCTAGAATCCAAACAAATAAAGAAGTATTTTCTTGGCATTTGATAACATCATGCTCTGGCCATAAAATCTGAGGACATGTTTGCTATTGCAACATTATTTTTAATGAGCTGTTACTGGCCTGTCCCGCAGTTAGTATTGCCAACAGTAAAAGGCATCACTCTGTTTTCAGGCAACACAGGGAACAACATATTTTGACCCCGATATTCTGTTTATTTTTCATTTACGACACATGCCCTCGTTTTTATTCCAAACCAGAGGAAAATAAAGGCAGATCTATCTTCACTGAGGTCCCGGCTAAAATTTTGCCACAAATACACTGGCTTATTTGAGGCCAGTTATCCATCAACAGAAAACAACAGTTGCGTTTCAGCCACAGTCGAATCAAGTGTGTCGATTGAGTTGGAGGAGCATGGAAACACAGTAGGAGAGAAGAGAGCGAGGACAGGCGCTCCCCAGTGGCTGTGTCCTGCTTATGGCAATGCTCTCTGAAATCTTCTCTGCCTTTTGGTTCCTTAGCCTTCCACTTCTGGCTCCCTAGCTCCAAAAGAATACTGTCTGGAGTGTGATCAGGACACACACAGACACGCACATGCACACGCGTAGGCACCACAGAGCTTGAAAGCAGGCAGGCATGCTGAATTGGCAAGGGGCATCCGAATACCTACTTCCCTCTTTCCCTCGCAGACCAGTTCTCCTAAGCTGTCTTGGAATGCCTTGCCTCTGGTGCTGAGGGACCAAATAGCCGCAGGAGAAATGGCTTCCAAGCACTGGCTAAAACAGGTGGGTCAAGGCAGACTAGCTTCCCTTGAGGCAGCTTTGAGAACTAACGGATGGGCAGCGAAAGTCTGGTTGGGAGACCAGTTAACTCAAGTCCCATCTCAGCCAGTGGCACATCCTCTACAACTTATTGCACTGGGTGTCTGATTTTCTCCCAGCTCATCTGAAACCTCTCTGTCCTAGAAGTGGTAACTCCTTGTCCACCTATCTCAAGGACTGCTAGGTTTAACGACCTGCCTCACGATTTAGCAGAACTCCAAGCTTTCTGCTCCCTTCTTTTCGCCCAACACCCCTGGGGACAATCACAGGGACCAAAGTCTTAGACAGACATCTTAGGGATGTCCTGTCCAGAAGCTCTTGAAGGAATCCTGGCTTGAGAAAAGAAGGCAAGCTTTAGCTTTTTCTTGGGAAATAACACCTGCCTTTAAGCTCAGGATCGTCTTGCTCAATTTTGCAAGCTAGACATAAACCTAGGTCTTTATACCGTTCCCATCCCTCATTCTTTCTTGCACTGGCGAGAGCCTTTCAAGCAGCAGAAGATACAGAGGGAAAAACCGCCCTTGGTTCTGAACAAAGCCGCCCCTGTCTCCTCTGCCGGCTGGATTATAGGGGCGTGAGTGCAGGTCGGACTTAAAGAGCACAAGAGGCAGTCAGAGAGTGAGGCAAGGAGAATTTCCCTGGACACGGGCTCCCAGGGGGGTGGAAATCATCCAAAGTTACAGACTCTGGCAACATCAAAGGCTTATTTTTTCTTTTTAATTAATTCGATTCCACAACAACATTAAATGTAACAATATTTTGTGGAGTTTTGTTTTGTTTTCTTAAAAAGGGGCTGAACTCCGGCAGAGGACAAGGAGGGAAGGGGAAACAGACGGATGGAAACAACAGAACAACAGGTGTAGCCAACAGGGAACCAGAGCAAGGGGCCCTGTGGAGTTGGGGGTGAATTTTACAAGAAAACTGTACAGTTATCAAATAAGTTAAGATTCTCCTACGTTGATTGTCCTTCACTTAAAGCGCTCCACTCTGCCTAGCTCACTCCTCGGAGCATCGCTAACTACCTTGATTCTTCCTTCCCCCTCTCCTGCTTAATCTTCCCTCTACATTAATGATTCTGCTGTGGCCTAGTGGTCTTTATCCCCACAGAGGAAGGGGCGGGGCTCTAGGGAAATTTTGTACAATATTGCACAGGCCAAACCACAACGGTTGCTGCAAAGTAAAAAAAGGGAGAAGATAAAATGTATTTTTTTTCCTAAAAAAAGAAAGAGAGAGAGGCGGGGAGAGAGGGAGAGGAAACCAATCTCTCAAGCAGGTAAGATAGTAGCAATAATAATATTACCACCATATAAATGCTAGTGATAAAAAGACCAATGCCACTCAGCCAGAAATGAAGCTGTTACTGGTCTGGATTTGAGGCCTTTGCCTTTTCCCTTTAAACATTTTGGTTACAGAATTCTTCTGTTACAAACTGAGACAAATGGACTTGACTGCCACAGATCTGCAGAGTGAGGGTCTTACCAGAGGCCCCTCAGATTTTAAAAGGGCGGGGGAGGGGGTAGATAACTGGTTGGAGGTAGGGTAAGAACCACACCCAGAAATCCAGAAATAAACATGAATACGATATGAATTCTCTCTCTCGGGATTTTGAAAATAGTTTCTCAGAAAAATGAATAAACTTGAAAAAGTCGAGTTTTCCGCTTATTTTCCTTCTGTAAAAATATACCCCCCCCCAAGCCACAGCGCAATGGTAATTTAAGGGGAGATCTGAACATTTAGAAAAAAAAAAAAACCAACAACTTTCAGTTGGAAGTTTTGACCTGGTAATTTTGTGGTTCCCCCAAACCCCACCCCGTTTTCTCTCAATGGTAAGCAAAACCAAAAATGAGAGGAGAGGCGCCTCAAATTCACAGGAATGAATTGCACGAAAATGCATTGCAAATACTTACAAAATGTTATTGGGGGGTGGGAGGCAAGGCAGTGAGCCCAAGGTCGCTGGCCACAGCCCTTGCACCCTCGGCCCGGCCCAGTCTCCTCCGGGGCCCCCGAAAGGTGGCCGGGTGCTCACTCCCTCTCCCCTATCCCGTCTCACACCGGCCGTAGCAGGGGCACGGAGGAGACCACCGGATGTGAGTAGTAGACCGGGTGCGGAAAGGTGAGCAGCGGCTGGCTGACCGGCACCGGGGCCCCCGCGGCCGCCGCCGCCCCCTCGGCCGCAGAGTTCTCGTGGTAGAGGATGGGCACGCGCACGATGCGCTGCGCAGCGGCGTGGCTCAGGTTGGCCGCCTCCAGCTCGGCTGCCAGCTGTCGCTTCCACTTGTTGCGGCGATTCTGGAACCAGATCTTGACCTGTGTCTCGGTGAGGTGAAGCGACGCAGCCAGGCCGGCTCGCTCGGAGCTGCTCAGGTAGCGTTTCATGTCGAAGGTGGACTCGAGCTGGAAGACCTGGCTGCGGGAGAAGACGGTGCGCGTCTTCTTTTTGCGGCAAGCCGGCTTCTTCTCGGGACTCTCAGCGCCCGCCTTCCAGTCCTCTGAGCCTGGTGTCGCCGCAGTCGCCCCTACTGTGGTCCCGGCCGAGCCAGGCACCGCCTCGCCGTCTTTTTTGCCTTCCTCGGAGTCGCTCTCTTCCAGAATGATCTCGTCCGGGCTCTTGGAGTCCAGCTCCTTGTGGTCGGGGTCAGCCTTGAGCAGAGGCTCCGGGGAGTCGCGGTCGGTGCCGGACGCAGGGGAGGAGTCTCGAAGGAGGGCCTTCTCCGAGGCTGGGGAGACAGACAGACAGACGCACACACAAGCACAGTGACACAGCTTTGAGCGAGGCGGGGATCTGGGAGCAGCAGACACAGCCCGCACGTTAGCCTCGGGCTCCTGGCCCTTGGCCTCGGTTCTTCTGAGATTCTCCCGTGTCCCCGCTGGGCTGCAGTAGGGCAGCAAACCTAAGATTTCCTCGCCTCCCTAGGACTGGCCAGGCAATGACGGCAGCAGGGCCGCTCCTTTTATCTCGTGTCTCCAAAACCTAGGGCCCTCGGAAAAATTCTCTACGGTTAGGGTTCAACCCTGCCTTCCAGGCCTAGTCCCCAACCCAGTCCATCCCAAGCCACCCATTCCTGCTGGAGGCCACTTTTCTGGGGAAGCGCAGCGCCCCGGCCTCCAACTCCACCTCTTTTCTCAGCAAGTGGGATTGGATTCTGGGGCCTCGTAGCCAAGCCGGTAGGAAAGATGCGGGCTAGAGGCGGAAGGAAGTTAACCAAAACTCGGGTTTACAGATGTCGGGACATCCCATAACTGTAGTGACACCAGCCCTGGGAGGGGATGGGACCAGCTGACAGAGAAAGAGAGGAGAACGAAAGTTCAAAGAGAGGTCGGTACCTTCTGGTCGCGGGAGGTGGCCGCCGGCGGGGGTCAGGGTGTAGGGGTACCACCAGGCCGGGGAGCGCTCCAGGTAGTGCGCGGGCAGGGCAAATCTCTGCGCTGGGATCTCAAAGCGGGGGAAAGCCAGGTCGCCCACCTGCGAGAGCGCGAAGCCCGCGGCGCCCTCCAGGGCACCTTTGGCTGCGGCCGCAGCAGCGGCGGCCGCGGCGGCGGCGGCCGAGGCCGGCGCAAAGAGCGTTCGTGGGGGCGGCTGAGGCTTCGGGGGCGGCCGGTGATGGTCTCCGTTGAGCAGGTTCCTGATGGAGAACGGGGATTCCTTGGTTGCGGGAGGCTGGGGCGGCGGCTGCGGGGGCGTCGCGCTGGCAGTGCCCGAGGCATCCGGCCCGGGCTCCGGCATGGTCCCCAGTCCTCCGGGTCCCACGGAGGGCGGGAGCGGGACAGGCGGGCGGCGGGGCGAGCAGGCTAGGGGCCGGAAATCAGACCATAAACGGAACTCAACTACGGGGCTCAAAGTCGGGGGCCGCCCCGGGCGCGAATCGAGCCGCGGGAGGGCGGGGTGGGGACCGGGCCGGGGCGGGCTCGCATGGGGGAGGGGTCCAGAGGGGCGGGGAGCGGACCTGCCTCTGCGCCGAGGGAGCGAGGGGGCCGGGTAGGAGCTGCGGCTCCCCGGGAGGAGGCTGCGAGAGCGGTCCCCGGCTTGGGGATGCGTCAATCCGGCGCCGGATGCTAATGATGAAATCAAAATGTCATCCAAGTTAAATGCGGAGAGTATACGGCGATTGGGCGCGTACAATGGCAAATGGGATTAGGCCGGCCAAGGCGCAGCCGAGCCCGGGCCCCGCAGCCGCCTCCTCCACCGCCCCCTCCTCGCCTTCCCTCGGATTTTGGCGCTTTGGCTTCGGGCTATGAGAGCCCGCCTGTTATTGGCTTTATATAGTCCAATTAGGCAGCAAATGAGGACAAACCTATTAGCACAAAAGGATATTGGCTCTCGCTAAAGAGGCACTCTGAGAGCTCCCACCAAGCGGGAGGCGCGCGAGGGACCTCAAGAAGGAGACGCCCCCGGCGGGCCGGAGCGCACGGACCTGCGCGAGTCTGGAGCACGCACCTCCCTCTACCCCCTGCGGCTCGGGCACGGGCTGGCTGCTGTCCGGTCTGCCAGAGGGGGAGGGGCACGGCAGGCTGGTCCGGGTCACCTCGGGGTTATCCGCGGTAGCAGCCGCCGCTCTCCCACCCCTCCCGGCCTGGCAGGAGCCAGCTGCCCCCAGGCGGCAGGAAAACCTTGGTCGTGCGGGCCCAGGAAGTAGGGCGCCACCACGGCCCGGAACAAACTCAGTACTCTCTGTCCCCAAACCTGCTAATCAGGGTGCGGCCAAGAAGAGGGGAATTAGGCTTCCCCGTTCTTCGTCTAGTCGAGAGTCTGAGGGCTCAGGAATCCGCGTAGCCTTGGCCTTTGGTCCTGAAAACGGAGGAAAGTGATTCTGAATCTTTCAGGAGTAGGAGTGGGTATGCGACTCTGTGCACGCGCTTCCCCTGGGCAACTGGGTAGCGGTATTCCCGCACTGACAGCTGCACTCCGAACGACACCGCTCTTTTCTGGATGACTGTGTCCACGGCTCAAGGACCAACTTTAAGCCTGCGATCTGAACACAGCACTTCCCCCCCCCCCCAAAAAAAAAGGTGGCGTTTGGAACTTCTTGATGCTTTAATATAGGCGCCAAGAACCGAAGGTGCAGAGGAGTACCTTTCTCGGTTTTGACCCTGGTAGCGACACCTGCAGCATGTCCCAAGGGCCTCCAAGTCCCTGGAGAACAACGGGCCTCTGAGGAATAGCTGGACTCCTTCCACCGTAACCGCTCCCTGGGTCAAGCAGGAACCCTGGGAGAGAAGCAGTTCAGTTCTAAATCCCAGTGCGGTCTCTCTTCCCCGGGGATAGTTCTTTGGCCCGAGAAAGATGACAATTTGTTCTCAGCCAGGATGAAACTCCCTTCACACCTGAGCTTTCTCCGTCTCACCCCGTTCTTTATCTTTCGATGGAGCCTTGCCTAATTCAAACTCCTCTTGCCTAGTGCAGACTGGACAGTTTTGGGTCCCCAAATGGGAGGTAGGCTTATTTTATTTTTCAGTCCTAGGGCCCCAGAACTGCCTCCACCAAATCTTGAAGGTCGTGTTTAAAGTTTTGACATCTATCCCCAGTAACGAACCCTACATTTGCCTTGTTAGTAGCGCTTCCGTAAATGGTTACTATTATTCCTTTGATTTTGTACAAGGCTTTACTGGAATGCACAGGGGCGCATCATCTAAAATCCGAGTTGGAGCCAATCACAGCCCCGAGGCTCAAGCAGGGTTGGTAATACGCTCAGACTTTATAGAGAAAAGGTGTCCAGAGAGGAAGCCGTACCTAAGGCACCCAAACAGTGTTGGCTAAACAGAGGCCACCCCCCTCCACCCACCCAAGGCAGAAATCGTTCTTCTCGTACAGGCGACATCGGTTCGGAGCGCACTGCTTGCGCACAGCAAACCCGGTCGCCCAGTAGGCTGTGGAGGCAACCCGTCACCCCACAAAGATATGTGTGGGTCTGGCGGAGAGCTGATGCAGATGTGTGCACACTCGCTAATGATCTGATGCACAAAGGCTTCTTTAAATTAGGGAAAGAGGAAATACTTCCCATTTCTCCAAAAGGTGATCGTTGTAAGTCAGTGTTACCTTTACTCCCTGCCTACCCTGAGAGGCCATGTGTTCAATCACCGTGTCTCAAAAAACAGCAACAAACAAATCTCTATGAGCCCGCAGGCGTGAAAAACATTCTGTCCCAGGAAGACAGGCGTGAAAGAGATTCAGTCCCCGGCTTCTGGCTGATCACAGTTCTGGAACTAGACTCAGAAGTATGGACCCAAGAAGAGTTAAGAGGCAGCCTACTTGGGCTGATCCAACATATGTGTCCCTTTCCTAAAACGGGCGTGTGTGTGTGTGTGTGTGTGTGTGTGTGTGTTCACTAGAGGAAAGGGCCTCTTTATTGGGTGTCAGCATCCCCAGCTGGACGTCAACAGCTGGAAGCATAGACTTGAGCTTTCCTTTCCGGCTAGAAAAAGCTCTGGTGCCTGGATAGCAATTTACTCGCGAGAAAGGCTTGTTCCTTCCACTTGCCCGCACCATGATGCCTTGTAAAGCCAGGCAAACAGCGCCCTCTATCGGAAATCCTCGAGCCTGCAGGAGAGTCTGAAGAAAACAGAACCTATGCTAAGAATTTAAAAGCCTAGGCCCTAGTATTCCCTATAACCCTTAGAAAACAAGCACTTGGGAAAAAAAAAACTGAGTTATGGGAGAAGCTAAGGGCGAGGTCCCCGCAGGTCCTACCACCTTTGGAAGAGTTCTCTCTTGCTTTGCACTCTCCTGGCTTTCTGTCTCCTTTTAAGGCCAATTTTAATTTTCTCCTTGCAGCCTTTTCTTTTCATGTGGGGCCGGATCGCAGCCACCTGAGCTTCAGGATGCTGCTGTATGAGGCAAGCTGTATTCCTCATTTGAGAACTCAGTGCACAGTTGGCCAGTGAGTGGGCCTTTCAGTAAAGGTTTGTGTTAATGCCTCAATTCTTGACTTAGGTGATGGGTGGGCAGGTGCGTGGGTGGGTGGACGGGTGAGTAGGTGGATGGATGGCTGGGTGGGTGGATGGATGGGTGGGTGGGTGGGTGGATGGATGGGTGGACTCACAATTCCCATTGCAAAGGATTGGTCTGCTTGGCAAGAATACTTCAGACACCTTGGCAACTTCCCCCAAACACTCCCTCCAACACAGTTTTTGAAGTGTTTAATGAAAATATAGATTGTTGGTTTTTTAACATAGGATCTTGGTCTGTAGCCCAGGCTTACCTTGAAGTCAGTATGTAGCCTCCCTAATGCTAGGACTACAGGCGTGAACAACCACATTCAGATAATCTGAGGTCTCTTGATGATACATATTACAACAGCGAAAAGCTCTCCCAGGAACAAGACTGCTGAAGAGTGCCTCACAGATTTTTCAACACGCAGGCTGTGGGGAGTCAGATCTCCACACCACTGTCTCTTGGGACAAGTGACCAAGAGGGCAAAAGATGCCTGGAGAACACTAATGGTTAACACCAAACATTTACAGAAAGAATGGGGCTTGGCAAAGGCACGCTTAGATTGCATGTCCTCACATGCAAAAGTCATATGTGCATTTGCACACACTCAAGTCGGTAATCAGATTTTTCTCCAAGGGAGGGGAGTGTTTCCATGTTCTCTAGGGCTTTACTCAAGGCAGGGGGCTTCCTTCTGCAGCCAGAGTGGATGAGTCCTCCCAAGATGCAGTGTACCAGCTTACAGAAAGGGTGGGGCAGCTAAACTTTTAGCCAATGCTGCAAGGCCCATGCTGGAGGCCTTCACTAACAGCTAGGGTTTGTCCTGTTCCTGATGTTTACGTTTACCACCCAACTCTCCTGAGTTACAGGTTTTTGATTTGTAGGTAAAATGGACAAAAGTCTAGAGCTGTGATTCCCCCAGGAAAACTCTGACCCAGTCTCCCAGAAAGCTCCTGCTCATCTTTGCCCATGCTACTTAAAATACTACCGAAGACTCCAGTTCTGACTAATGAGTGCGACCTTGAGGAATATGTAGCCCTTAGGGAGTGACTGCAGCCATGTAGTCCTTGATGACATCTATGCCTTGAGACGTGTACTAACTCCTTAGAGTTGCCAAATTACTAACCCTTCCCTGAGAATAAGGGAACTCACTATGCAGAGCTAATCTTAGACATCACTCACTGGTTGGGTCCTCACTGCACACTGGCCACTATCCCGGGGTGAGGTGGGTAGTTCTTGAAAGTGAAGAAACTGAGGCACAAGATAATACAACGAAAGGAAATGGATCTTATCTGAGGGCACTTGAGTGTCTAGTGGGTAATGGCTATGCTTATGGTAAGTTCTCGCCCACTCTGCTCTTGGAAAATATTGACTGACTGATTGATGATTGATTGATTTGTTGTTTAATTTGATACAGTCGCCTACTGGGTCATTCTGGTTGGCCTAAAATGAGTTTTCACAGAGGTCTTACTTGCTTCTGCCTCCCACATGCTAAGATTAAAGATGACCCCATAGGCTAAAAATCTGTTCTTGCTGGTTTTTCTGAAAAAGCTAGGATAGCTAACCCTGGTAGGCCACCTACATCCTCTCACTCTTCCTTCTTCTGGTGTCTTCAAATCTAAAATAGGAGTCTTTCACACACAGTTATTCACAGGTTGCTCTCTGTCCTAAGAGTTCTTTTCTTATGTTTTAAGATTTATTTTATTTTTATGTGTATTGCAGATATATGTCTGTCTACCACATGTATTGCTTGTGCCCACAGAGGTGAGAAGCAGACATTGGCTCCCCCTGGAGCTGGA